TAAAAAACCCTGTAGGTTCCCAAAGCTTGGAAACCCTCCTGCCACGGCCCCAGCCCTGTCCCAGCATGAGGATCATCCCCAGGCCATGGCAGGAGGGAGCAGCTGGTGCTGATCGTGCTGGGAGTCAATTTTCTGCGTCCTCCTCCCCGGGAAGGGTGCAGTGTCCCCTGCTTCCTGAAGGCACCACATCAGCTCTGGGGGCTGCAGCCTTGCCAAACCTTGGGGGGAATCAGGCAGAAGGTTTGAGATGCCCAACCCCTTTTTGGGGAGCTTGTTGGAAGCTCATGAGGGGGATCCTCCCTCCCCTGGTGTCTGCCCATGGGTGCACTGGGCTCTGCTGCCTTCCCAACCGGGGCTGGTCTTTGGACTTTGTTCCTTCCTGTCCTTAATTTTCCAAGCGCAGGGAGGGGAGAGTCCTCCCTCCCCAAGGACGTGGAAGGCTGGCCTGGAGTGTCCCCACCTCTCCAGCCAGGCTGGGCCTGCTGCCAGCGTGGGGCCAAGGGGGTGTTATCGGGGCTGGGCCAGCCCTGGGAGCCGGTCCCTGTCCCCTCCCCGGGCCACCACGATTATGGGGGGCCCTCTCCTACCCTGTGCAGCACCGATAGCACGGTGCAGGTGGGACACTGACCTCACACTGCTGGAGTGGGGATGCTGGGGGGGCTCCCAGGGGAGCCAGGGACCCCCCTGGCCTCGAGCATCCCCCGCCACGCCTTGCAGGGGGACGGTGCCATGGCTGAGAAGATGTCACCGAGCCCCGGCGTGGGCATCACGCCGCTGCAGCAGATGCTGGCCTCGGGGACGGGTGCCATCCTCACCTCCCTCTTCGGTGAGCACCGCAGGGTGGGTGCCAGGGCAGGATGGGGGGCTAGCACAGGGGGAGTCATGGCTAAAGGGTGGTGTTGTTTCAGTGACGCCGCTGGACGTGGTGAAGATCCGGCTGCAGGCCCAGAGGACCCCGTTCTCCAAAGGTAACCCTTGCTCAGGGTAGGGTGGGGGGCTCCAGCCAGCCCCCCCAGCCAGCTGGCGAGCAGCCTGTGGGGTGGCTTGGCTGGCAGAGCCAGTGGCAGGGATGTCTCAGCCCCAGAGCATGGGGCCACTGCGAGGTGGCAGGTTACCATGGGCCCCTCATCCTGACGAGCTCGGGGGGCCCTGCTGGGGGAGCTGGGCTTGTGCTTGGCTCTGTCCTTCCCCCTCCACAGCCTGGTGCTGAAGGGGGTCAGCGCTGTGCCCGGCAGCCCCCAGCCCCCCAGGGAGCAGGGCAGAGGGTCTCACCCCACTCCAGCTGTCTGCTGTCCCCCCACTGCCTTTGCTCCAGTCCCCACACTGCTCCCCATGGGCTCTGCCCTCCATCTGCCCCCCTCCTGTGGGGACAGCGGGCTGGGCCCAAGGGACTGGTTTGGTGACAGTAGGGGCTGCTTGGGAAGTGGCTGTGGGGACATCCAGCCCCCTCACCCACAGACTTCTCCCACTGCCCGTCTCGGAGCTGCAGCACACGCGTGTGCCCCAGCCCTGGGAGCTGTCACGTCCCGGTGCCGTTCTCAGTGTGTCCCCATTGTGTGTTTCAGCCTTGCCAGCACAGGCAGTGCCCTGGGGCGCTCAGCCGGCCACATGTGAGTAACGCCCGGGGGCTCCGGGCAGCTCCTGCTGCCAGTGGCTTCGCTTTCCCAAACCTTGATCCCAGTTTGCTTTCCCACTGGTGGCAGCTCGGGCTCCTCTGGCTGTAGGGACATCCCTGTGGCCTGGGGGCTGCCATTGCCCCCTGCCCAGGCTGTTCCTGCAGCCCTGCTTTGGGGCTGGCTGTGCCACATCCGTGGGGTCTGCTGGGGGGTCTGTTGTGCAACAGGCCTGGCTGTCTGTGCTCCCCTTCCCTGTACTGTTGCTACGTCAAAGTCCCTTTGGATCTCCACTGTTCCTCTGCTTGGCTTGGGGGCACAGTGGAAGGCCATGGTGTCCCCACTGTGCCATGGCAGCAGAGCCAAGACCAAGCAAGGCATAAACCCCCTCCCTGCCGTGGAGCTGAGTGTCCCTCACCCTGTGGGTCTGACTGTGATCAGACCCTTGCTGGAGGGTTGTCCCTCTCCTGGCCTTAGCCTGGTCCCACTGGGGTCAAGCACTGAGGGTTTAGCTCCTTCCTGGAAGGAAGGCTTTGGGATCAGATGTGCTGGGTGTGGGGCAGAGGAGAAGAGTCTCCTGTCTAACAGTGCTGCCATTGCTTCCTGCCTCAGGGAAGTGTTTCCTCTACTGCAATGGGCTCATGGACCACCTGTACGTCTGCCAGAACGGCAACGGCTGCACCGCCTGGTACAAGGCCCCCACCCACTTCACCGGCACACTGGTAGGGGCTGTGGGCACAGCAGGGTGGGCAGGGGCCTCCCCATGCCAGAGGGGTGTTTGCTGGGGAGGTGTTTGCCCATCTCCTCCCTCTAACTCCTGTCTTGGTGCTCCACTCTCTCCCCAGGACGCCTTCGTGAAGATCACACGCTACGAGGGCATCAGGTCCCTGTGGAGCGGCTTGCCCCCCACCCTGTGAGTTTGGGGATTCTGGGTGCTAACACCCGCCTGGGCACGCAGACACCAGTCCCAAGCCCCCCTGCCGGCCCTCAGGGAGTGCATGTGCCCCTCACACCCCTCCTCCTGCTCCTCGCAGGGTCATGGCTGTGCCAGCCACCGTCATTTACTTCACCACCTACGACCAGCTGCGGGACTACCTGCACGCCCGGACGGGAAGTCGGGGTCACCACATCCCCTTGCTGGCCGGGGCCCTCGCCAGGCGTGAGTACCCCTCCCCTCTGGGGGTCTCCCCGTGCCCACCCTGCGGTGCCAGCAGAGCGTGGCAGGTCTTGGTGCCCAGTTTCGGCACTGGGCTCTCCCAGCACGGCGCCGATGGCTCCGGAACAGCTGCTGGAGCGGGCAGAGCTGATTCCTGCTGTCCCCTCCTTGCAGTGGGTGCTGTGACGGTCATCAGCCCCTTGGAGCTGATCCGCACCAAGATGCAGTCCCGGCAGCTCAGCTACCGCGAGCTGGGCGTCTGCATCCAGTCAGCAGTGGCCCAGGATGGCTGGCTGTCCCTCTGGAGAGGCTGGGGACCCACCGTGCTGCGGGATGTCCCCTTCTCGGGTATGGCTGTGGTGGCACTGGGAGGTGGCAGGGAACCAGGGCCAGGGGGGTTGGTGTGTCCAGAGTGTCCAGTTGTAGCACTGGTGTCTCCTCTCCCCCCCTAAAGCTCTGTACTGGTTTAACTACGAGTTGGTGAGGGCGTGGCTCTGCAGGCAGGCCTGGCTGGAAGAGGCCACGTTCATGGTCAGCTTCGCATCTGGGGCCATCTCTGGCACGGTGAGTTTGGGGTGCTGAGGCTCACTCAAGGCGGGGGGATGGTCCCTGTGGGGAGTGAGGGAGGAGGGATGGGCTGGGATGGCGCAGATGGCAGAGCTGTCACCAGGTCCAGGCTCACTGCCCGGTGCCAACCCCACAGGTGGCCGCGGTGCTGACGCTGCCCTTCGACGTGGTCAAAACCCAGCGGCAGATCGAGCTGGGAGACAGCGAGGTGCACCCAGGTGAGGGGCCAGGCCTGTGGGCAGGTGCCTGGGGGGCATCCAGGACTCCCCATGGGCATCCCTACACCCTCACCCGCTCTCCTCTCCCCACAGTCTCAGCCTCCAAGCCTTCCTCCACCTGGCTGCTCATGCAGCGGATCCGCGCCGAGTCTGGCACCCGGGGGCTGTTTGCAGGTGAGGACGTGACCCAGCCCGGCTGTGCTGGGGTTCCAGGTGCCCCTGGTGTCACCCCTGACGGTGCTGTCCTTGCAGGCTTCCTGCCCCGTGTCATCAAGGTGGCGCCTGCCTGCGCCATCATGATCAGCACCTACGAGTTCGGCAAGACCTTCTTCCAGAAGCTGAACCAGGAGCGGCGGCTGCGGGGGTTGTGAGCAGGGCTGGGGCAGGGCTGCGTGTGGCCGTGCCCAGGGGACAGTGCCAGCCCTGCTCCGGCCGGGAGCGGCGATCCACGCTGGGCTGTGCAGAGCCCAAGTGCCTTCATCCCGCGCTCTGCCTCCCCACGCACGGAGCCAGGACCCCACTCGCAATCCCAGCCACTCTGGGGGACATCTGTGCCTGCTGCTGTGACACTGTGGGGGACATGGACCCCCCCGCACTCATCCCTTGGGGCTGGACAGATGCTGCTGCTGCTGCTGCTGGATTTATGGACACTCTGGCAAGGATGGGGTGTCCCAGGAGACTTGGCCTGGCAGGAGATGGAGATGGGGCTCTGGCGAGGACCAAACCCCAAACCTCGGAGGCTTCTCTGCCTGCCCGGCCCCCCCAGCCCTGCTCTGCCCGGGGTCTGCCCCTCCTCCATCACTCACGCACAGCCTCCCCTTGCCAGCTCCGCATGGGGACACATCAGGACCCTCTCCCCGCCTCCAGACCTCTCACTGGGGGTGTCCTTGTCCCCTGCCAGACCCTGGGTCGCACAGACCCTGCATGGGGACAGACCTCGCTGCTGCTCCAGGGGACTGGGGGGCACGGTGGCACCCCCTGCCCTGTCCCTTCACTGCAGGGGCCTGCCCCAGCTCTGCGGGCACTGCCCTCACCTTCCCCTGGAACTCACGGGGGGCAATTCCTCTTATTTTCTTAAATAAAAGAAAAATTTGTCTCGTAGTGGAAGGGTTTTTCTCCCTCTGTTCGGGGGGGGCTGTGAAAGGCTGCCCCAGGGGTGTCAGCCATGTCCCTGCTGTGTGGACACGATGTTGTCACCCCTGGGTCCTTGCTGGGCTTTTACTGGGGGTAAGGGACCCCAGGACCACCCTGCTGATAGGGCAGGGGGATACCCCATCCCTGCTGACCTGTGGTGTCCCAAAGGTGCTCTCCCTGCCCAGGTGAGCTGGAGGAGGTCACTGCACCCTCCCCAGCACCCGTGCCTGTGCCAGGACCTCATGGTGGGGGGGCACAAGGGGTCTGTTCCCCCCCCCTCTCCCAGCAGTGGGGGGTGGGTGACAGGCCAGCTCTGCTTGCTGCGTTTATTGATTTCCTTTTGCTCCAACAAGGCAGATGGGGCCAAAATAAAAACCAAAAACACCCAAAACAACCCAAAACCCAGGGGAGGATGGGGAGGGGAAAGGGGAGTCCTACCCCTGTCGTGGGGATGCCGCAGCAAGGAGGGACAGCTGATCCCCACAGTGGGGGACAGGCAGCCCCCCACAGCAGGGCAGGGCTGGGGAAGGCCAAGTGGGCACTGAGAGCTGAGCAGGACAGACAGCGGGGCTGTGCCCAGACCCTCATCCCTGGAGGGGGCCTGCCCCTGACCCCCCCCTGCTCCCCAGCAGCTGTCACTCCCACTGTCCCCCCCATGGCACAGTTCATCCCCCCCATCCCCAGCTCGCCTGGGTGCCAGTCCTGCATCCCCCATCCCAACGGGTCCATGTCTCCAGCCAGGGTCCGGGCTGGGGGGGCGGAGGCACAGCCGGGGGTGGGATGTCGAGATGGGGAGGGGGCTGCCCATCCCCAGCCTCCCCGGTGGGTTCGGCGAGTCCCTCGTGGGTCCCGGGGCGGCGAGGGGGGGCCGAGCTCAGTCCTGGGCCGCGATGCTGGGCCGGGCGGCCGGGCCAGGGGGCGGCGAGGGGGCCGGGGGCCTCAGCTGGGGCTGCGGGTCGGGCTGGCTTCCGTGCTGTCGCTCACCAGGCACTCGTTGGACTTGAGGCTGGCCAGGGACTTGCAGCTGGGCAGGGAGGCCAGGGAGCCGCAGAGCCCCAGCATGGAGGGCGTGGGGTCCTTCCCTGCGGGCAGAGTGGGGTGTCATGGGGGGGACAGCGGCCTCGCACCACAGCCCTGCCACCGCCCCGGGGGCATGGGGACCACCCCTCTGGGTGTCCCTGCACTGCTGGGACAGCACCCCTGCCACGAGGAGGGGGCTGCTGGGAGGGTTCAGACGCCTGGGTGTGTGTGGGGGGCCACGCTGAGCCCTGGGGGGGCACCCTGTGGTGGGCAGGGGGTGTCTTACCCAGGGGCCCCCAGGGCTCGCCTTCGCGCTTGCCCTCGCCCAGGCGCTGGGAGTCGGAGCTGAGGCTGTTCTCGGCCGAGAGCTGGTCGGTGCTCACGAAGCTGTGCCTGCAGAGGGACGACGCTGAGCCCCCCGGGGGCTGGCACAGCCCTTCTCCCTGTCCCCTGCCCCGTCCCCCCTCCCCTGGGGCAGGGCAGGGTGCTGGGCACAGGTCGGGGGGGGCTCTGCCCCCAGCACGGTGTTACCTCCTGTAGAGTTTGCTGTCCGAGCCGCTCTCGTTGCCGTTGAGGGTCCCCAGCGAGGGCCACTGGTTGACCAGGGGGGTCACCATCTCCTTGGAGAGCTGGGCCAGCTGTGGGTTCTCGCAGGGGATCAGCCCCGTCCTGCGGCAAAGGCGGGTGCTCAGCACCCGGCACGGCCACCGGTGCCGGGGACCTGCCAGGCGACACGGCCCACGGGACGTGTGGGGCATTGGGGACCCACTGCGTCCCACGGGGCACAGGGGACACGGGGGACCCTCCCTGTCCTATGGGATATATGGGGCACCTGGGCATCAGGGACCTGCCACCCATCACACCCCATGGGGCAAATGGGATACCAGGGACCCACTGTGTCCCGCAGGCCCTGGGAATGCCACACCCATCACACCCCACAGGGTGTACGGGGTGCCAGGGACCACCCCTCACCCTGCCCCTCAGGATCGATGGGGCACTGGGGACCACCCATAGCCCCTGGGGCACCCAGGCTCCAGGGACCACCCCCCACCCCGAGCCCCCACAGCAGCAGCAGGTCCCCACTCACAGCTGCTCCTGCAGCTCCAGGATGACGCCCTCCAGCTCCCTCTTCTCCAGCTGGTTCTGCACCATCACCTCCTCCAGCCGCAGCTTCAGCCGCTTGTTCTCCGCCTCCAGGTCCTTCAGCTGCGACTCCCGCAGCCGCACCAGCTCCTCCAGGTACCCCTGCGGGAGGCCACTGTCACCACTGGTGTCCCTGCTGCCACCACAATGTCCCCAAGGCCACTCAGGGTGACAATGCTGGGTCACCACAGCAGTGGGATGAAGGTCTGCAGACACCACTGGGCTGTGGGAGTGGAGAATGCAGCGGGGGGACCTATAACTTGACAGCCCCATCCCAGAGCCCGGTACCTTCTGGGCGTAAACGATGCGGAATTTCTGCTCCATCTTGCGCCACTTGTTGTACCAACTGTCCTCGTCGGTGACCAGGGGCAGGTAGGGGTGTTCAGGTGAGCTGTCCTCGCTCGTGCTGCTCTCCACGCTGCCCCGCTCCTCCTCCTCGCTCAGGTAGTCGTAGCTGGGGGGGGTGCAGGGGCTCAGTGGGGGCTGTCACACAGTCAGGGAGCCTCCCCTCGGGGTGCCAGGGGAGAGACAAAACCCACCAAGGGACCCAGAGATCCCCAAAAAAACCCACTAAGGGAGCCCCCAGACCCCCAGCACGTGCAGGTGCAGGTGGGTCCTGCTGCACCCCAAAAAACCACCGAGGACCACACAGGGCCCCCCAAACTGACCAAATGGGGGGATCCTAAAATCCCCCAAAACCCACCAAGGGACCACAACCCCCCCCCCCGCCCCAAAACCCCAGGGAGGGCACCAGGCTCTTACCTCTGTGTGAACTTCAGGTAGGGCGTGTAGTCGATGACCACGGGCGTTTTACCATCCATCACCTCTCCCTTCAGGCAGAAGCTGAGCAGCGGCAGTGGGAGAAGGAGCAGAGGGTCAGGGCACCCCAGGGGGGTCAGCCAGGGCTTGTGTCCTACTGTGTCACCTACCCCTACCTGAAGTCGATGGCACTGAGCCCGATGAGCATCCCCGTGAGCACCGTGGACTCCTCCCGCAGCATGATGGCCCCGTCGTCGTAAAACCGCCTGCGGGGAAACGTGTGGCACCCCCAAAACCCACCCTGGCACACAGAGCCCAGTGCAGGCATGGCCGTGGCTGTGGCCGTGGGTGCTCACCTGGTGGTCCGTGTGTCCCGCAGGGCCGTGGAGATGTACTCGGACATGCGCTTCTCCATCAGCGCCACGCGGATCCACGCCCGGCCCTGCAAGGCAGCGCCGCAGGCAGCCCTGAGGGGGGGCTGCCATTGCGTCCCCCCCTCCCCACAGCTGCCCCTCACCACAATCCCACCCACCCCTGGCACTCTGGGAACCAGCAGAGGGGGGTTCCCCACCCAGGAGTGGGTTTTGACCTGTTTCCCCATCCCATGGGGACCCACAGCTCCTGTTGCACCCCAGTGACCCCATGGGATCCTACAGGGGGCAGAGAGGGGATGGGAATGGAAGTGAGATGAGAGGGATGGGATGGGATGGGATGGGATGGGATGGGAATGAGTATGGGACAGGAATAGGGATGGGGATGGGAAGGGGATGGATCCCTGTACCAGGGACAGGGTGTGAATGGAAGCAGGGGAGGCGAGAATAGGAAATGACCTCCTGACCTTGGCCCTGGAGGTGCTGATGTTCTCCATGTTCTCGATGCTGCTGACGCAGTTGTTGGGGACCTTGCTGCAGGCCAGGCGGATGTAATCCCAAAACCCGCGCTGCCCATCGGAGCTGAACCAGCTGACGGGGCCTGCGGGCACCGAGGGGCTGTGGTGGGGGCCGCTGTGCTGGCAAAGCCCCTGACCACTCCCTGGTGCCACCGTGGGCATCCCCACCCACCACGAGGCACAAGGGTGGCGGCAGGGACGCTCCCCCTTACCTTTGAAGCGGTGGCTGAGGATCTGCTCGAGGATGGCGGCGAAGTTGACGAACTCCTCGGAGGAGTCATCGATGGGGTCCGCCGTGTACTTCTCCAGGAGGGTCTTCACCGAGAACCTGGCGGGGGTTTGAGCGTCGCAGGGTGGGAGGGGACAGACCCCCCACCACCCATCACCCGCCCCCCTGGCACGGGCCGGGTTTCAGCGCCGGAGCAAAACGCTTTTCCAGCCGTTGGCTCCCGCTCCCGGCAGCGGGAAGAGGGCAGCGGGGCTGGGCTGTGGCTCGCTGACCCCCCGTGTCCCCACATCCCCAGGGACCCCGAGGGGGCGGCCGCCGCTCCCCGCTGAGCAAGTGGCCAGGAAGGGCGAACAAAGGCCCCTTCCTCCCCGGCCGTGCGCGGGCGGTGATGGCTTCCCCTTCCGCCCGGCCGCTCGTGCTCCCAGCACTGCGATGCCGAGGACACGGCGAGCCCGGCAGGACGGGGCAGGTGTTGGCTCGGTGGGGACCCCCCCACCCTTGTCTGGTGGGTCACAGCCGACTGGGGGATCCCTCTGACGGCGAGTGGAAGGTGCCTCGTCGTGACAGAGGGGTGTGGACCTGCCTCGTGCCGTGGTGAGGAAATTCAGGGGGTCTGGAGGTGCCCTGTGCCCTGGCGAGGAGCCCTGGAGGTCCCCGTGCCACGACAGTGGGGTTTGGAGCTGCCCCTGTGCCGTGGTGAGGAAGATCCAGGGGGTCTGGAGGTGCCCTGTGCCATGGCGAGGAGATCCAGGGGGTCCACATGTCGTGACAGAGGGGTCTGGACCTGCCCTGTGCTATGGGTGAGGAGATCCAGGGGGTCTGGAGGTGCCTTGTGCCAC